GGGCTAAGTGGTCCATTAATCTAAAAGTGATTTCTGACAGCCAGAGAGAGAGGTGGGAGGGGGAGGAAGAGGAGGGGAGAATGGCCTTATCCAGAGTAATGGGAAAAAGGTGCCAATAAGCCTGTGATCACTTCGCTGAGCTAGCTCCCCTGACTGGGGCTGGAGGATCAATCTTCTCTCTGTTCCACTACTCACAGTCACATAGCCTAAACACAAGACACAGTGTTGTCTGTTTTGTCTGCTGGGTGACTGTGGCACAGTGGCACTCGTTGAAGGAGTAAGCTCTTCACTACAAGGACATTGTTTTTTATTTATTGGACATTAATTAATGTATTTATTGCTTTTTTATTGGATAAAATGAGTTGTATGCAGAATGCCGCTCATCATTCCATGCAATACAATAGCTACAATGTCAATGGCGAAGGTGCATAAAGATGGAGGAATTCAGATGTTACGTCATTGTTTTTAGCACTACCCACAGAGTTCTTAAACTACGGCACGCAACATGGTTCAATGTGCCAGCAAATCAGCACAATCTACATTTTAATTTTTTCTAATTGCTGTCGTCTTGGAGCCTAGAATTGGGATCATGTATACTGCGCTAATGCCGATGCAAAAAAAAGAGTAAAGGTGCGCAATGTACAATACGGCGAACTCAGCAAACGAGGTACTTGTGGTAAGTACATTGCACCTCTTGTTAACTGGTTCTGTATCCTGATTGGCTAGTTCATTGAGTGGCTGTTTGAACACAGGTGTAGTCCCTCTGACCTAATTATTGAAGGAACTGCTTTTAACACTAGGTGTGTCATTGTTTGATAGATCCTTGTGTGTGTGCAAGGGGAGCCACAGTTTTAGCCATCTGTTTTGTACCGTTTAACTTGGTTTATCCTGCCTTTATACAATAAATTAAGCATCTGTTTTAGAAGTCTTTTAAGTGTAAGAGCAGGCCAGCTCTTTCACATTTGGTGTCAGAAGTGGGATTAGCCCCTAGTCCATTGGGGGTGACCCATGTTTTAAAGGCTTTTTAACTGAACGTGAGGTGGACTGAGCAGAGAAGATTTTTTGAAACCCACCGGAGCATGCATCCTGAGGATGACGTTAACGTGTGGCTGGAGATGACTGTTCGGTAGCCCAATAGGAGAGCATCGGAGCCCAAAGAGGGAGCAGCCAGGAAAGCCCTATGATTGACGGGGAGTGCTGTTTCTGTTCTGCCTGGAGGGGAGCCTGCCATGGCCCAGGGGATGGTGACCCGGTGTGTCCACTAGAGGTGGCCTAGAGCCCATTGGCGGGTGTATTGTCCTGGCCCTAAGTTGCGGTTGATGCCAGAGGGGGAGCTATGGGAAACCCTAGCATCTGGATGGGGTACATTCCAAAGTTGCCGGTACATCATGGTATCACAGCTCGGTACATCAGGGTAATTAAACTCAAGATTTCAAGACCATTTACTTTATTTGCAGTAACCATCTTTCTTTGTCTCGCTACCACCCGTTCGAGACAGGAGAAGGGGGAGGAAATGTGAAGGAGTAAGCGCTTCACCAAAATGACTTTTTTTAAATTAATGCATTTATTGCTTATTTATTGGATGAAACTAGTTGAATGCAGAATCCCTATGTTAACCATTAATCATTCCATGCGATACTATAGCTACATGGTAAATTGCGCCTCTGTGTTAATTGGTTCTGTATCCTGATTGGCTAGTTAATTGAGTGGCTGTTTCAACACCTGTGTGGTCTTTTTGACCTAATTATTGAAGGAACTGCTTTTTACAGCAGGTGTCATTGGTTGAGAGATCTGTATGTATGTAAGGGTTTTAGCCACAGTTTAGTTCAGTTTAGCCTTCAGTTTAGTACCTTTTTTACTTGGTTTATCCTGCCTTTCTATAAGAAATTAAGCATTTTTGCACATTTTCCTTCTTAGTCTGTTTTAAAAGCATTTTAAAGTAGGCCAGCTCTTTTATACACTCCATGCCAACATTTTCAGCTATGCACAGACTTCACTTACAGGGAAACACTTATTTTCTGTGTTTATTGGCTAGCCTCACTCTGACAGTCTACAGAATCAGATTGGCACAGTGTGAGCCCATGACTATTACAGGACACAACAGGACAGCACAACCCAGAGGACTTGCAGATAGAGAAGCCACAAATACCATCAGATCTGTTTACAGTAGTGGGCCAATGCATTCTCTACAGTGTGTTTCTCTACAGTATGTTTCTCTTTATTTGAGTAGCCTATCCTTATCTCACTTTGTTGCGCAGATTGCCACTCAGATTATTCAGACAGATGATACGGAGTATTGTCATTAATCACAAGTGTCATCGCTCAATATTGTAATCATGGAGATCTATTCTCTCCACTCTAGAACTGAGACAATAAACCTAAAATAATTTTGCTGATATCGTTCATTACGATAAGTAGCCTATACTAGAGAAATGTGAAGTTTGAAATTAAATAAATATATGGGTGATTGTTAATGGGTGATTAATATGGGTGATTGTTAATGGGACAATTGATGACTACAAAGTAGAAGATTAAAGGGTAATAAAAAACAAAGTGGTGCACATTAATGTAAAACTCGTTATCGCATCAATTCAGGCAATTTATTGCGATATGGATTGTTTTCCATTTCGCCCAGCCAGCTCTACTCTTTACTATTAGAAATCTCCCTGGAACAGCTGCGGACCCAACCACCAACCAACACCATGGAGAAGATAAAACAACAATGCCCAGATACTTACATCCCACCATCATCATGGCCACAGAGAAGATCTTCTCTCCGTCCGTGGTGGGGGCGATGTTGCCAAACCCGATGGTGGTCAGACTGGTCATGGTGAAGTACAGAGAGGTGATGTACAGAGAGTCTTTCCCAGGGCCACCCTCCCATTGGCCCGAGCCACTGGCGTTGTAGCAGTACGGAGAGCCGAGGTTGATGGCTAACTGATAGAGCCAGCTGTCCGTCTTGATGGTGTTGGTAACCTTGTCGATGACCTCGTAGTCTCCAATGCTGTACCAGATGCAGGCCAGCCAGTGGGCCACCAGGCCAAACACACACACCAGTAGGACCAGTACAGCTGCTCCATACTCCAGGTAGTGGTCCAGTTTACGGGCTACCCGGCCCAGACGCAGCAGTCGCACCACCTTCAGAGAGCTGAACAGACTGCTAATACCCTGGAGGAGACAGAGCGGGAACAGGGGACATGATAAAGGGTTAGTTGGGGTCAGGGTCATTGGGCAAAACTACATGGTACAGTATGTGTTGACATGTAGCACTAACCCCTCGGCCCTCAAATTAGTATGATGTAATCAACCAAACTGGACCTGGGGAACAAAAACATGGATTCATTTCCATCTCAATGAATGTAATCTGAATAATGCTAAACAACGTTTTTTGAGTGGAGCTGAAGTAGTCATAATTGCAGCTTTCCCACTACTTTATAAAACAGAATACATTGCCTCATAAAAACAGAATGCAGCTATAATTTAGGCTCCATATCTCACTTCACACAAAAATGATGTCTCCGAATCAAACAGCTTGTTAGTTATTCAGCGTTTTATCCCCTCTCATGTAAGCGACGCACGTTCTCCAAAGTCCTTGTGTACTGTCTCTGTAATAACACGACTTTCCCAGAGAGAGGACACAAAAGCAATTGGCTGAGAAAACAAGCAGACAACAAACAAAAGGATTCTGCTAATATGGAAAAGAGGAAAAAAACTCTAGTAGCCTGCAGAGCCGCCAACTTGGGCTCCCGATCTCTGTGGCCGACATAAGACGTTCAAGCGTGTTATCCCTCGCAAGGCTGCCGGTCCAGACAGCCTGGTGAAGAAGGCACAAACTCAGGAGGCTGAATACATTTGGCTTGGCACCTAAGACCCTCACAAACTTCTACAGAAGCACCATCGAGAGCATTCTGCTGGGCTGCATCACCACCTGGTACGGAAACTGCACCTCCTGCAACTGCAGGGTTCTCCAGTGGGTGGTGCGGTCAGCCCAGCACATCACCGGGGGCACACTGCCTGCCCTCCAGGACATCTACAGCACCCGGTGTCACAGAAAGGCCAAGAAGATCATCAAGGACCTCAGCCACACAAGCCACAACTTGTTCACCCCACTACCATCTAGAAGGCGAAGGCAGTACAGGTGCATCAAAGCTGGGACCGAGAGACTGAAAACGCCATCAGATTGTTAAAGTCATCACTAGCCGGCTACCACCCGGTACTCTACCCTGCACCTTAGAGACTGCTGTCATTGAACACTGGTCACTTTAATAATGTTTACATACTGTTTTACCCACAATATATGAATTTACTGTATTCTAGTCCTATATAACTACTGCTCATCCTATATAACTACTGCTGTAGACACATTTCTATTCATATACTGTCCATATTGTCTATACACACCATTTATATATAGTGTATACACTGAGTGTACAACACATTAGGAACACCTTCCTAATATTGAGTTGCAACCCTTAAGACAGTTGAGACATGGATTGTGTATGTGTGCCATTCACAGGGTGAATGCGCAAGACAAAATATTTAAGTGCCTTTGAACGGGGTATGGTAGTAGGTGCCAGGTGCACCAGTTTGAGTGTCAAGAACTGCAACGCTGCTGAGTTTTTCACACTCAACAGTTTCCTGTGTGTATCAAGAATGGTACACCACCCAAAGGACATCCAGTCAACTTGAGATGACTGTGTTGTTGGTTAAGGGCTTGTAAGTAAGCATTTCACTGTAAGGTTGTATTTGGCGCATGTGGCAAATAACATTTGATTTTATTTAATTTTGATTGGAGTTAACATGGGATAGCATCCCTGTGGAACGCTTTCGATACCTTGTAGTCCAGGTCCCAATGAATTGAGGCTGTTCTGAGGGCAAACGGGGATGCAACTCAATATTAGGAAGGTGTTCCAAATTTTTGGTGCACTCAGTGCAACTCCTTTCCTCTCCAGCAAAGACTTGCCAACCCCTGACGCAGTTACGCTTGTTCACGCTTGTTCATGCTGCTCGTTCACGCCACGCTGCTCGTTGGTAAGTGAATGCTCCTGCTACTTCTTTCTCCTGAATTTGTTGACTGGTGTTTTGGCTCACTGCCCCTCAATTTACTGATTGCTTCTACAGCATCAACTTGCGAGTTGGTCATCTCCCGCTCGTATATTGTATGTGCTGCCAGGATCCATACAGTGTAAGGGTTGGTGTGAGGTGTGACCCATGTGCGGTGCAGGATAGACAGTAGGCAGTAGGCAGAGATGGTGAAACAAGGATCTTTACTGGTGGTCCCGAAGCAAGGATACAAAACAACAGACTTAACACGATAAAAGAAAGGTGGAGCAAATAAGTCTCCAAAAACAGGCTGACAGCCAAAAATACGAAATAGTAACAGGGAGAAAACTTCTCGAGTACCTGTACATACTTCTCCAATCAGACACTGATTAGTACTGCTGAGCATAGAGAAACTAGCAGAGAAAACTGAGCAAGGGAACACAGGAAAGTGAGGGCATAAATACAGATAGACACAGGTGACACCAATGGGATAATGATTGGTCCAGACTGTGAGTAAGGAGGTGCCTAAGGTTGTCGGAGGATGACACCTAGTGGGTCACTCTGGAACTGCGACCCCCTCCTACAGCATACAGTGAGCAAGTCCTCCGCTTTCTCTCTGTTTGCCGTACTGGTGTGTGACTCAAGTGTGTGTTGCTCTTGTGTTTGCCATTTCACAGGCTGTGCTTGTTTTAGGAGGTGGGGTGCGGGATGTATTTGCGAACCCACTGTAGCTTATAGAACACTTTTAGTAAACTCCTGTCAAGAAGAGAGACACAGAAGTCCTGTTAGCCTAGCTAGCTTAGCTAGTCTGTAGTTTCAAATGGAGGTCGCTAATGAACGGTTTCAACACTGCAGGAGCTGTATTTATTTTTGCTCTATTCCAGGACTATGTGGACCGTCCGGACTTTAAATGTAGCAATTGTTTGCTCGCAGAGGACTACAGAGGCAAAATGGCTACTCTTAGCAAACAAGTAGTGAACTTACACAAGCTACTGGGGAATCCACGTCCGAATGCTTTCTCTTTTTCTTCTACTCCAGTAGCTGGACGCCGCTCTGACCTGATGGGAGTGTCGCCGCCGTGTCGTCTCTCCACAACCGACTGGCCGGTGCTCTGCAGGGATCCCTCCCCAAAGGGGTTTCCCCCTTCCCTGGAAAATGGAATTAGTAGAATGCTTCTGGATGACTTAATGGATGTACCTATTCTTGACCCTAATAAAAAGCGTGAGCTGGCGCAAACCCAGAGACGTTTATTTTGCGTAGAGGTGCTGACTGTAAGCTATAAAAAATATATAAAGAGAGTCGTACACTCTATATATAAACTCACAGTAATTTATTGGGTAAATCTATTAATTATTGAACCTGCCAACCTGCCAACCTGCCATGGAGGCACGTCACCCCCCAATGTTAGTCACTTGCCGTGGAAGCGGCCTTTGACAATTGGGGCCTCTTTGGCGGTGAGAAGCCCGGACCGGATACAGACTTCAAACAGCTTCGCCGCCCTGGATCCAGAGGTTCTGGCGCCTTCACCCCTGGGGGCTTCCGGTTCGAGATTGGATCCTGAGGTACCTGCGCCTTCTTCCGGTGACTTATATGGTGAATGAGGCTTCGTTGATTATGGGAGGCTCAAACCAGGTGCCAAGAGTTGCAGGTGTGTGAGATTCCACCTCTCGCAGGTCCTCGTTGTCTTAGGCAGCTCTATGGTAAGAAACGTCTCAGTTCTGGAGCAAAAACCCTGTGCTACCCCGGGGCTCGAATACAGGATATTACTAGGCTGTTCTCCACTGTTCTACGTCAGCACACGGAGATTGATGCTTTTATAGTCATATAGGATTTAATGGCATTAGGAATGTTAGCTTGGAATGGCTGAAACAGGATTTTGAAGAATTGATTGGGTCTCTGCTGGATACCAAAAAATGGCCTATCATTTTTGTCCCTGTTCCCTCGCTGGGTCAAGGTAGTGAATGTTTTAGCAGGCTACTTGCACTTCACAACTAGCTACGTGACTACTGCAGCTCCTTGGAGGTAACTTTTGTAGACAACTTTAAAACCTTTTGGAAGCAGAGGGTGCTCTCTAAGGAGGATGGGATCCACCCTAATCATTTGGGTGCCTGGATCCTGTCCAAACACTACAAGGCAGCGCTGAGGCAATGACTGATCAAATCAAGCTCCTCAAAGGTATTTACTTCCATTAAATCGCAGCGATATCGTTCCGCCAGTTTCCCATGTTGATAGGGGTATTGTAAATAGTAATTCTATGCCTGTTAATTTAATTTCCATTAACAGCTCTGTTAGCTCCTGTAAGGAACCCATTGTTAGCTCCACCTATGCTATTATTAGTTTTATATCAAGCTATCATTTTGCTACATGTACTCATAAGCATAGGGGTATTGTCAATAGTAATATTGTGCACATTTACCTGAATTCTACGATTAGCTCTGAAACTTTGAATCCAATCAGAAAGCCTTTTGTGGCTAGCTCATCCAGTTCTATTGACTCTTGTGTCACCATGGATACTCCTGCTGCTTTCAAATCTCGCAGGGGGCTTGGACTGTTACATATAAATGCAGTGGTGGAAAAAGTACCCAATTGTCATACATGAGTCAAAGTAAAGATACCTTAATAGAAAATGACTCAAGTAAAAGTGAAAGTCACCCAGTAAAATACTACTCGAGTAAAAGTCTAAAAGTATTTGGTTTTAAATATACTTAAGTATCAAAAGGGAATGTAATTGCTCAAATATACTTAAGTATCAAAGTAAAAGTATAAATCATTATATTAAGCAAACCAGATGGCACATACGGATAGCCAGGGGCATTCTAAAAAACTCAGACATAATTTACAAACGAAGCATTCGTGCTTAGTGAGTCCGCCAGATAAGAGGAAGTAGGAATAACCAGTGATGTTCTTGTCACGATCGTTGAATTGAGTAGACCAAGGCGCAGCGTGATGAACGAACATACTTTATTAATCGAATGATAAACACGAACAATAACCAAAACAACAAACGATACGTGCAGTCCTACGGTTTAAAACAACCGACACGGAACAAACCAAACGGAAACAAGATCCCACAACTCTTGTGGGAAAACAGCCTCTATAAATATGGCTCCCAATCAGAGACAACCAGCAACAGCTGACACTCGTTGCCTCTGATTGGGAACCACTCTGGCCAACACAGAAATACACTACATAGAATATACACACCCTGGCTCAACATATAGAGTCCCCAGAGCCAGGGTGTGACAGTACCCCCCCCTAAAGGCGCGGACTGCGACCGCGCCTAAACATAAAAAAACCAGGGGAGGGCTGGGTGGGCATTCCTCCTCGGAGGCGGTTCCGGCTCCGGGCTAGACCACCACCCTTCAACCATCCCCCCGTGGCGCCCCTGGTCCGGTCTGGCCCCGCTGGCTGGAGCTGGACTGGACATCGTAGAAGCGGATTGCTTAGGCTCCGGTGTGGAGCAGCTGACCGGTACCTGACCAGGCACCGGTGACCCAGGCACGGGTTGTGCCGGACTGACGACGCACACCCCTGGCCTGGTGCGTGGAGCAGCTACGGGCCGGACCGGGCTGACGATGCGCACCCCTGGCTTGGTGCGTGGAGCAGCAACGGGCCGTACCGGGCTGACGATGCGCACCCCTGGCTTGGTGCGTGGAGCAGGAACGGGCCGGACCGGGCTGACGATGCGCACCCCTGGCTTGGTGCGTGGAGCAGGAACGGGCCGGACCGGGCTGACGATGCGCACCCCTGGCTTGGTGCGTGGAGCAGGAACGGGCCGGACCGGGCTGACGACGCGCACCGTAGGCTTGGTGCGAGGAGCAGGAACAGGCCGGGCCGGGCTGGCGACGCACACCGTAGGCTTGGTGCGAGGAGCAGGAACAGGCCGGGCCGGGCTGGCGACGCACACCGTAGGCTTGGTGCGAGGAGCAGGAACAGGCCGGGCCGGGCTGGCGACGCGCACCGTAGGCTTGGTGCGAGGAGCAGGAACAGGCCGGGCCGGGCTGGCGACACGCACCGTAGGCTTGGTGCGAGGAGCAGGAACAGGCCGGGCCGGGCTGACGACTCGCACCGTAGGCTTGGTGCGGGGAGCAGGAACAGGCCGGGCCGGGCTGACGACTCGCACCGTAGGCTTGGTGCGAGGAGCAGGAACAGGCCGGGCCGGGCTGGCGACGCACACCGTAGGCTTGGTGCGAGGAGCAGGAACAGGCCGGGCCGGGCTGGCGACGCGCACCGTAGGCTTGGTGCGAGGAGCAGGAACAGGCCGGGCCGGGCTGACGACTCGCACCGTAGGCTTGGTGCGGGGAGCAGGAACAGGCCGGGCCGGGCTGGCGACGCGCACCGTAGGCTTGGTGCGAGGAGCAGGAACAGGCCGGGCCGGGCTGACGACTCGCACCGTAGGCTTGGTGCGGGGAGCAGGAACAGGCTGGGCCGGGCTGACGACTCGCACCGTAGGCTTGGTGCGAGGGGCAGGAACAGGCCGGGCCGGGCTGGCAACGCGCACCGTAGGCTTGGTGCGGGGAGCAGGAACAGGCCGGGCCGGGCTGGCGACGCGAACCGTAGGCTTGGTGCGAAGGGCAGGAACAGACCGGGCCGGGCTGGCGACGCACACCGTAGGCTTGGTGCGAGGAGCAGGAACAGGCCGGGCCGGGCTGGCGACGCGAACCGTAGGCTTGGTGCGAGGAACAGGAACAGGCCGGACCGTACTGGGAACACACACCACTGGCCTTAAACGGGGATCAGGAACGGGCCGGACCGGACTGGCAATACACCTCAGTACCTCTCGCCGTGCCTCTACAACTTCCTTCCCTCCTCTCACCAATGGCTCCCGTAACCCGGTGGCCTTCTCTCCTCGTCTCCCATTTCGCCCTGTGGCAGCCTCCTGCTGCCCAGTCGCTCATGCCGTGTGCCCCCCCGCTAAAATTTTTCTGGGGTTGCCTCTCGTCCGTCCGACGACGACACTGTTGACACCGTTGCTCCTCTCTAGCCAGGGCCTTAATCTTAGCCCATGGCCCCTTGCCCCCGAGCATGTCCTCCCAGGACCACGATTTGCCCACCTGGGCCATCGCCAACCTCTCCAGCTCCTTTCCCGGCGCTTCCTCCCATGTCCAGGCCGCCTGCTCCTGGATACGCTGCTTGGTCCTGGTATGGTGGGATCTTCTGTCACGATCGTTGAATTCAGTAGACCAAGGCGCAGCGTGATGAACGAACATACTTTATTAATCGAATGATAAACACGAACAATAACCAAAACAACAAACGATACGTGCAGTCCTACGGTTTAAAACAACCGACACGGAACAAACCAAACGGAAACAAGATCCCACAGGAAATCTTTGTGGGAAAACAGCCTCTATAAATATGGCTCCCAATCAGAGACAACCAGCAACAGCTGACACTCGTTGCCTCTGATTGGGAACCACTCTGGCCAACACAGAAATACACTACATAGAATATACACACCCTGGCTCAACATATAGAGTCCCCAGAGCCAGGGTGTGACAGTTCTCTTGATAAGTGTGTGAATTGGACCATTTTCCTGTCCTGCTAAGCATTCAAAATGTAACAACTTATTTTGGGTGTCAGGGAAAATGTATGGAGTAGAAAGTACATTATTGTGGTCCTCTGTAGCTCAATTGGTAGAGGATGGCGCTTGTAACGCCAGGGTAGTGGGTTCGATCCCCGGGACCACCCATACGTAAAAATGTATGCACACATGACTGTAAGTCGCTTTGGATAAAAGTGTCTGCTAAATGGCATATTATTATTATTATTATTATTTAAGAATGTAGTGAAGTAAAAGTAAAAGTTGTAAAATAGTAAATAAAGTAAAGTAAATATAGTAAAGTAAAGTACAGATACCCCCAAAAATGACTTAATTAGTACTTTAAAGTATTTTTACTTAAGTACTTTACACCACTGTATAAATGTGACTCTAGGAGTAGGCCGCACGTCACTACTTCACAGGAGAGGCATTTGAACGTAAGCATTTATTTCTTTATCAAAATGTGTTTTTTTGGCAGAAATGCCTTCTGGAACATGTGAACTTTCATATGCCTTAATAACAAACTTGTATGCCATCTGTAAATTAAATTATGAGTCTAGTTGGTTTAGCCATGGAAAAAGACAGGGACCTACCCACTAATCATGATTGGATGAGACAATGGATGAGCTGGACATGCCGAGAGATGAGTTCGTATTGGTCTGCCATGTGGAATGCTTCTGCCTATAACATGAGCTACTCAGTATGTGTAAGTAATCCATTCTAACTCTGCTTTTTTTTAAAGATATCACAAAAAACTGTAACGAAGAAGTTGACCGATTTTTGAAATCAGTGGAATGCCCGGTAGAAGCAGAGTAGGATAGCTAAGGAGATGGCGAAAATTCTGGTGTTTGATTGCAAATATGCTGATGGAGTCGAAAAGAGAACACGCAGAAGGCTGTTGTATAAAACACCTGTCTCCGGATTACATCTTCAAACTAAGGGCAACCATGGCATCCGTGACAGAGAGGGAGAAGCGTTCATCTATGTATACGGGTAACAGAGTCTAGCTAGCTAAATTT